AATGCCATCCCTACTATCTTGTTTGCATTGTTTTTGAAGGATTGATATTAGCCATCACTACATTTACTTTTTTAAGTTTTTTTCTTTACTTATATAATAATAAATTTTGAAGAAAGACTACGACGAGTGGCTCCCAACTGTTCAAAATGGACAAAAAAAACCTGTAAAATTCTACTTATTGCATTTCTTATTTTACAGCTTCCACTCTTCTAAAAACATAAATACACACCATATAAAATTGGAATTACTTTCTCAATAACAACTTATTTTCTGTAGAGCTCCCTTTCTTCCTTATATGGATTATAAACTTTTAGTTGTTATATCAGGAATGTTTTGTAACCACACGACTTCAAATAATCTTATCACATCATGGTTATGTATTTCTTTTGATGCTACATAAAGGCAACAGATTATTTTCATTGGTTCTCCTGCCTGTTTATTTTTTGTTGTTGAAGTAATCAAGTATTTTGTTTTACCTACCGTCATGCCCCAAGTTGAACAAAAAATGCAGCTTGGCTAACTAATTAATGAATATTTGCTATAAAATTCTTTATCAATGCTATAAGTGTAGCTACCAGTTTGGCCACCAATTTTGATTTTATTCCTTTAAATCACACACTCAATCCATTTTTGGTCACACCTTTTTTTCACACCTAAGGTGTTTATTAGATTACTTTAGCAGTCCCTTTTTGGTTAACAAAAACTCCTGTGTGTAATTTGACACAGGTGGTAACATACAGTGGACTTGAATTTAGAGATCAGTGAAGATCTTTCTGACACAGCTGTACATAATTTCTAAACAAATTACAGAGGTAACTTTTATAAACACCATCTGGGCTGGTAGATGACATAATTAGGCCTGTGATTATATTTTGCTAATAAGCATGTGAAACCTGGCTTTCAGGTTAATGATTACGAACATATTATGAAAAAACTATGTCATGTTGTGATTTTTATTGATCAGCAAAAACATTCAATAATTACCTTACTTTAAGTGTTTCATATATATAGTTTCATTTCTGATTTCTTAATTTTTTAATACAAATACAGAACTGACCAAAATGATGCCACTGGACTGAAAACAATGAAATCTGGCTTACGTGACTGTATAACTTTAAAACATTTTATATTTTTCAAAACTACTTTGAAATCCAATAAAAACAATCTTACCTGATAATTATTCATTAAACCAAAGGGGCAGATTTCATCTTCCCCAAAGGAACAGTTAGTTATTAGAGACAAAGTTCCATTCTCAACAAGTGTCTCTACCCCATTGGTGTCACGATATGTTACACATCCAGCAATTACTGCAAACAACATGTATGAAAGACTACTGATGATTATGGCTGAAAAGGTTCCTTTTGGTATGGAAGTCTGTGGGTCCTAGAAATAATATTAAGTGGATAAATAAACAACAGAATTTATTTTGCTGAAAACACACAGACACACACAAAAACATACTTAAAATTTCAAATAAGATGAGAAATAAGCTACTTCAAAACATACTAATATATAGATATAAAATATATCAGGTGATTAATGGGACTTAAAAGTATCAGTTTTATCTATATCGACAGAACAAATATTTTATCAAAAATGTAATATAGACGCAAAGTAGCTTCAAAAAAATCAAGTCGTAGCTTTAATTAAGAGTTAAAAAGCTTTGAAAATGTATTTTAACTTGTTTATTTTTGCTTTTAAAAATAAATACATTCAGAATGTATCACATTACAGCAATGAAATATGATAATTATAAAATACAAAGCTTTAAATTTTTTACGAAAGAGCAAAGGAAGTAAGTAATGAAGTACAAAAAATAACTATTTTATGTTTAAATTCATGGTAATTGCATCTGTAGTTCTGACATCATTTACAAGAAACCACACTTTACTTATTGTATGAAAATGTAAAAAATACTTACAGAAAGCCAAAATTATTGGATGCCAAATCTGGTATGACATATATATACCGTGTCAACTGAAGCAACTGTAAGATGTTACATAAATTGCCAAATGTGTGTGTGTGTGTACTTTAGGTTTGTACACCTGAGCAAGACTCCAATTCAAGGATATTTCATGAACTTAAAGAGTGCTGCAATGGTTTTGTTTTTTTAAAGACAACTTTAGGATCAACTACATTTAAATGTAAATAAAAGTACTTTCTCTAAAAGTGGTGTATAGAAATACTACGTATCTTGCACGGTCATAACATATTTCATATCTAACAAACTTTAAAATTTTCTAGGTAATAATTTCATAACACAGTAAAACTAGTAACGATCATATCCTCAATATAGCCTGAGCTGTCCAATCACAGAAGTCATCTACTTTTTCACAGGATAGTTGTATTATGTTCTACCTTATGTTGATTTACAACTGTCACATGGAGCAGAGATACTTCCAAGTTCTAGTGATTAATTTACATCTTGTCAGCTACAGAGAATGTGGACTGTGAAAGTAATTAGATGCTTTTATGGAGACTATCTACTGCTTTGAAATGATCAAAACCTTTGGTAAAGTGCTGTGTTTGAGTATAAAATATTTATTTTGTGCCAACTGTGCATTACTATAATTTTTGTTTCAACTTCATTTTGTTTCCTTTCACTTTAACTTTGTCATTTTTGACCTGTAAGGCATGTAATACAAACGTAGTGTGTAAAATACAAAGTACTTGGTAATGTTTGTAAAACTTATCTGTTTTTTTCTCTTCTGTACTTGCTCCCACATTAACATTCTCAGCAGACAAACCTTTCAACCTCCTGATATAAGAGGTAGTTTACTTGGGTGCCATTATTCCTTCAAACCAGTAATAAAACAAATGGGCTCACTTGTGTGCTAAATAAATATTTCACTTCTACATAATAAGCTGGTGTCTGAATTTTTTAAAAACATGCAAAACATTTTGTTCAGAAAACATTATGAATGTATGTTTTATTACATAATGACAAGGATCCCATAAAACAGTCTTTAGTAGTTTAACCATTGAAATTTAAATATATTCTTACAATACATATACTGATATGGTAGAATTATGTACACATATTTGTAATTAACTGTTAATATGGTAAAAAAAAGATTTCTTGTTTACTGACAAATTTTATAGGCCATTCACTATCTGAAACCATTGGCACTTGACTTATTCTGGACACATTGCCATAAACAACTAGCATAACTGCCCTTAATGATAACATATATTTTATAACATAGGAAAGGATGGAAACATATTTTAACATCTAACAGACTCAGTACATGTCTCTAACAAACTTGCTTATAATCACTGATTGACATATTAAGCACTTGTGTGTATCACTAATACTGTCATCATGTAGTAATAAAATATTAGCACATTCAAAGATTTGCCAAAAGCTCAATTAATCCCATCATGCAAAAATACTTTAATCTACATGCAGTGACACAAAAAAAGTTAAATTAACTTTGTATTAATGAAATTCATGTCTTTAGTGATGAAAGGTGCAAATGTCATTAAAAATTCCATTTTATACAATAGGTATTTTTCTTTTTCGTTAATATGTGAGCAATAAATGAAAGCCAGTCTCTATTGGAATGAAATTCACCCTAGAAGCTTGCTTCAAATCTTATACTTATGTTTGTTTTAAAGTAAAACTACACAATAGGCTATCAGTGTTCTGTCCATCAGAGGGAACTGAACCCTGTATTTTAGCATTGTAAATGTACACTTACTGCTGTCCTACTGAGGAACTCGATTCTTGCATACTAACACTTAAGAAAAAGATTGAAAAATCATGTTTTATATTGGAAAGAAAAATCTAGATTGGGCCCTCACACAATCAAGTGTGTGTTTGTGTGTGCATTTTATGAGAAGTATTTCAAATTTAAAAGTAAACTTAACTTGCACATCAGAAACAAAAACTTTCAATGCCTGTACATTGTAGTAGGGAGTACACCCACCAAATGGATTTGCAACTTTATTTCATGATTCCAGTGTGTGTGTCAATTTAAAACCTTTTTTTCTCTGAAACTGTGCAATAAAAATAAAAGTCTTAATTAATTAAGTGAATTTTATTTTTAGGCTCTCAGATTAAAAAAAAAAGAGAAGTCTGCTATTCAAAGCTTTTATAGCCTTAAATTATTATTTTTATATTCAGACTAAGAATTTTGCTGTATAAAAAAAAAAAAAATCACATGAGATGGAATGTGAATAAATAACTGACCAGCTATCTATTTGGAATACAGCTGTCAAAGTAGCTTAACTGACTAATGTTTATAAGTTCAATTCCCACTAATGATTGGACATCATAATTTGACTTGCCAACTAAAAACATAATTGCAAGTCTTGGTATTTTGAAATGTACATTAACTTGAAATTTTGTATGTGTAGTCTTTGTCTTTGGCATAAAGTTTACTTTCTTTATATTTATGTAACAAAAACCTTTGCTTTTACAAAAAACTTCATGTATTTACCATAGTAGAAACCAACTTGAATTTTTTTTTTTAATCTTGAGTTGGAAAATTAATTTTTCATACATTCAAAATAATTTTTTCTTTCCTATCAACATCATGGCACTGCTACAACAAAAACTATCTTAAATCTTTTATGGTATTTTTGGGTCCAATTCTGTCATATGTTATGGTCTTTCAATTAACATACAACTGTAAGTATTCTCATACTGAACATTATTTCTGCATTCAGAATATTAAGAAAACAAAACAGCTCTTTTTACCTAATGAAGTACTTAAGAACTAACTTGCTGATTCTAAACTATTATCATGGTAATTTCAAATTTTCTTTTCACTGATGTAGAAAGAAGTTAAACAAAAACTGATAAAATACAGAGTTAAAATTTTTGTATTTGTATTTATGGCAAAGCTACTAAGGCTATCTGCTACCATTTATAATTTTAAGCTATTACCCAGGAGGGTAACTAGTCAGTATCACCCTACCACTCACCATAAGGGATTGAATTTCATTCTTATAACACACATGGCTTAAAGTGCAAGGAATATTTTGTTGTATCACAAGGACAAAGTTAAAAACTGAGCATTATTAAATAAAAATAAATGTATTAATATAAAGTAAAGGTTTATGCATCAATTTATACCATAAAAACAAATTAAATGCACTGGAAAATTAATAACTTTTTTCTGATATACATATTTACAAATGTTATTTATTTAATGGAGAACTTTTGATCTATCTCTAGTGACATTAAATACCTAAAACATCAGACTTCCTAATTTATTCATGACCAATATTTTTTCAAAATTCAAACACTTGAAGGTAGACAGTAAGTTCAATTATTTTCATTGAAAGTTTTCTACACAGTGCTCCCACTTAAAACCATAATACTCAGCTTTATACAGTACTGATTCAACTAAAGAGGTACATGTATACTGTTCAGCATAACAAAACCATAGTTTTAAACTAGGAAGAAAACTGAACAGGATTCCCACAGGCAACACTGAAAGTTTTGGAACCAACTAACATGCTTTTTAACAGCAGGTGGTAAAATGAGAACAAAAAAGTAAAGCAATACAAAGGCCAGAGAGTTACTCTGAAAAAAAAGAAAAAATTAAATGAAAACTATGTTTATAAAGAAAGTGATGATTGGTGAAAGAAGAACATAATGTAATTTATCTCAGACATTATTAATATGTCTAAGTTATAGATGTTAACGTTTCTTATAATTATAGCCATTGTGGTAATTTCTTACATAGAAAATATTTTATGTAATCACAAATTTGCTGTTGTGGGTATCTAGAATTTCAACTATCTTAAGCTACTGAATATTAATTTTTTGTGATCTATTCAGTAACAGTGAAATCCTAAGTTTTAATAAGAATTTATGTTACTTTATTCACATTTCAAAATGTAAGACAATTCATCTTATGTATGTGTGTGTGTGTGTGTGTGTGTGTGTGTGTGTGTGTGTGTGTGTGTGTGTGTGTGTGTCTAGTGTTGTTATCTAGTAAGTAAGTAAAGTTACGTTACGTTTACTTTTTTCTTACTATTAGTTTGTAGTTACTGTTAGTTTTTGTTTTCGTACTTAGTAT